CTTTGCTCAATCAGCGAAGGAAGGGAATTACATGCACATTAAGCAATCATTTTCTAATATGAACAACAGTAATTTTGAGGCTAGATCGAATGTTTTAAAACTACAATTCACCCAAAAAATTCCTATGTCAAGTAATAGAAATTGATTTGTATATGCTGGGATATTCCTATCTTTTTTATTTAATCCACACAATTCATGAATTTAGCCCTTATGAATAATTGTTTTTAATTTGTTTATTCCACAGTTCCTTTACAGTCTAGTTCCATTAATCCACTTACATTCTGTTCTTTCATTCTTGAAATATTTTAATATTAGCATAAATATTGTGCAATATTACACATTATTAAATAATATAAACAGCAACTAAATAGCAATAAGTTAAAATCAAATCTGTTGAAGGAAATTGGGGACAACCACCTCCAAATCTCCATATAATTTCCTTGGGAAAAAGCAGCAAAACTCAGAAATATTATTCATTACTCAATGCTTAAAACAAAATATGCTTAGAAGATTTCATTTGAAGGTAAGGACATGGTGGCAAGTTTTCAAGGTGAGTAAATATGTGAAAATTGCTTATTTGTAACAAGTACAAGAAGTATATGATCCAACACAGTACACAACCTGTTAACTATTAATATGCATTTCCCATGTGAGCTAAAACCTTGCCAATTATTATGAATCGCTTTCACTTCAGATCTACTGCTGTTCAGTTTATTAATCAATGTGAAGTTCTACCATGCAGATGACTCATTTCAATCTTTGAATATTCACTCAGAAAGAATAACAGAGTAATTTTCTCATAGGTGTTATTGCTAAAATATGGTTGTGATAATGATGTCTGAAAAAGGTATTGTTTTGGATATTTTAATTTACTTCCTCTTCAAACCATTTTTCTCTCTATCTGTGTCATTTCATCATAACCTCCTCTAGCTGAATGAACAAGGTCTGGATTGAACTTGTTTTGTGCATAGCTGCCAGTCACAAATATTCAAGCAGAGTGGTGTGGACATTATTAGTTTTGTCCTGCCTCTAAGACAGAACAGCTAGCAGAGTGAGTGAAAATATTGTCGAGGCAGCCAATGAAAGCAAACATAATTTGAAATCCAGATATAAAAACAGAAAAAGCTGGGAACATTCAGGAGGACAGGCAGCACTTGTGGGCTGTTTCAATCCTGGACCAGTTAAAATCTGCTTTCAATTAGATAAAATATGACATTCAGGAGACTTATCATTAGAATAAAGCCACCAGATTCCATGGTTTTGAACAAACTACAATAACTACTAGAATGCTAGATTAGTAATGCAATCTAAAATATATGTACTCTTAAACCCAAAATTAACATATGTGCACTCGGATAGTGGACTGTGATCAAACACTCCATGGTGCACATCAAATAGCATATGCAATTAAGAAAGTAATTCCATCCAGATATTAGTGCTACAGTAGATTGTCAAATCTCTTTAAAATTCACAAGGCATCACAATTCCTCACCTTTGCTAATCTTTTCTTGCTCCATTATAGACTGCTACAATGAATATTCCTGCTGTGGTTGATCATCCTCCTGACTTGTTTCTTTGCTCCCCTGGACTTGGAAATTGCACTCCAATACCCACTCACAAGTTTAACACCAGCTCCTAAGAGCTGGATTTGCCAAAGTAAAACTGCCTGGGTTTTTCCCTGAGCCCTGATATAGGTCAGTTACATCCCCCTCAAAAAAAACTGTTTTGTGAGCTTTCCAACGCTCATTCTCAACTGCAAATAAGTATTAATATTCGCATGAGTTCCTCATAGCTTCCCCAAGAAAAAGCCAGCAACCATCTCAATTCCTCATCTCCCACGAGTCCTGACTCCAACATCCCTTATACAGAAAACTGAAAGAACTGCAGATGCTAGAAATCTGCAACAAAAAAAGAAATTGCTGGGAAATCTCAGCAGCATCTGTGGAGAGAAAGGAGAATTAACGTTTCAGGTCCAGTGATCCTTCCTGAGAATGGAGAAGTTCTGAGGAAAGGTCACTGGACCCAAAACATTAACTTTGCTTTCTCTCCATAGATGCTGCCAGACCTGCTGAGATTTTCCACCAATTTCTTTTTGTTTCAGATTTCTAGCATCTGCATTTCTTTCAGTTTTCTATACAGAAGTGCAGTTCACTGTAGAACTCTTAACATGAAGTCTACACCTTTCTTGGGCTGTCCTTTTCAAACTGCCTGTAACCTTTGGATACCTCTTCAATGACCCCCCACCCCCTCCCAAAAACTATCCTGAGTGAATGATTAGAAATTTTTCATAAATCCCCTCCCCTATTTTTGGCCATAAGCTGAAAGCTATTAACACTTTGAAACCCTGGAGGTTACATTCTCACAGAATGCTGGAAATCGATTTCATCACAGAGAGAGAAACAAAGTTAACATTTCAGGCCACTTACGTTCTTTCATAAATATCATCTGTTGAACAGTCAATTGTCTGAAAACCTAACTTTTCTCTCCCTCCACAGATGCTGCTTGACCTGCTGAGTATTTCTGTTGTTTAATGATTTAATTTCACATTTTTAGCAATAGCAGTACTTTACTTTTGAGTTCCAAGCAGGTGTGAAGTTCAAACTTAAGAAATTTTTGTTTCTGGACAGATAATTCATTTGCCTACCAGGGATTGTACTTTGTATTTACTTTGTGTACCTTCAAAGAATTATTGTTACCTCAAATTCAACTGCTAGAATAGTCAATTCCTAAAATTTCACTTTCCATATTAGTCAGCTGGTGATGCAGCATTTTTATTTTCAAAAATAACAAATATATACTGTGGTGTACATATAATCTGTAATGCAATATTTCATGTGTTTGTTGATCAGAGAATTGTATTGTCCTTTGGACATGAACACGTCAAAATAGCACGTAGAATACTTCAGAATGGCAAAACTGGTCATGCAACAATGTAGAATTCAATCATATTGTACAGCATACTTACTTCACAGAATTATGGACAAAGATTTCACACTTAATCACGTAATAAGTCAATTTGCTGACATTTGTGTTTCAAGGAAGCTAAGTACTAAGTAAAACCACACAGTGACGCACACATCTTATGAAAGAATTAAAAAAAAATATAATCAGTGTCAATTTTGTTTACTTTTCTGTTTAGAAAATGATAATCTGAAAATTAGGTTATTTTACAGACTCATATCTATCTGTTCTGATGAAGAGCAACATTATTTTCTACATAAATAGTTTTATTAAATATTCCCCATAATAGGACATAAGATGCACTTTTACCACCCATTCTGAAACAGCACACAGAAATGATTAATCATAGAAAACAATTTTAATCTGTACAATTATATTTTATTCCTTGTAATAAATAAATTTGATTTAGGGGTCAAGCAATACATTCAGGTATTAAATGTCTGAATTGCAGATTCTACTCCAATTACTGGCACTGACAATGCACCACCACATGACCAGAAGATACCACCACATAATAGTAAACAAATGCTTCATTCTACTTCTCTGTATACAAATGCAATAAATGATTCTTTAAAACAAAACAGTTATTCACTTTTTGTCAGAATAAACATTTTTTTATTTGGACAGATTTCTGGAAGTGGCAATTATTCCTCTAAATATTGAAGCCCAGATATTCAGTCAAAATATTTCTCTAAAAAACCTTGGGTACTCCATCATTCTTGAATAATTTTGATACATTTTGGTACAAATCAATGGGGTAGCACTGTGGCTCATTGTTTAGCACTGCTACCTCACAGCACCAGGGACCTGGGTTTGATTGCAGCATCGGGCCACTGTCTGTGTGGAATTTGCACATTCTCCCTGTGTCTGCGTGGGTTTTCTCCGGGTGCTCCAGTTTCCTCCCACAGTCCAAAGATGTGCAGGTTAGGTGGAATAGCCATGCTAATTTGACCATCGTGTCCAGGGATGTGCAGGTTAGGTGGATTAGCCATGGGAAATGCAGGGTTACAGGGATGGGGTGGGTCTGGGTGGGATGCTCTTGGGAGGGTCAGTGTTGACTCGATGGGCTGAAAGGCCTGCTTCCACACTGTAGGGATTCTATAAATCTAATGAAAGAACTCCAAGGCTATCTAAGCACACTGTACACAAACCATTGATCACTGTCTTCTAAACAAACATCATTGCCTCGGGGTTCTTCTAAGCCAATTATATTTACCATCTGGAAAGAAAACTTAATTTATGATAAATTATATTCTTTAACTTATCCGTCATAAATTGAATTACCAGCTTTTCAAAACAAAGAAATAATCCACTGTGGTAGCATGATTTTAGAAACAGCAAAATAAAGATTCCAAGTTCCTTTCAATACCAATATTTGCATATCAGAAATGTGAAGGAAAGGAAATCGATGCAAAGAATAGAGTAAACCTCTCAAACCTCGTTTGATTCTTCAGTCAGAGTATTCTATGCTGAAAAAAACAAGTCAAATCAGTCATGAAATGGGGAACCTCAAGTATATCGATCGATTGGCAAATTCTAAGGTTAAACATTTTCCATTTGACTGATACAACAAATCTAACGCCATCCTTCTATTATCGAACTCGAACGTCAAAGATTTCTTGCCATCAATTACTATCTTCCAAATATATAACAAGATCTTATCCTTTATTTAATGCATACAAAGCTGGAAGAACATTTCAAAGGCACTAGTTTGCGCAGCCATTCGTACGTAAAAGCCCCTTGCCTGTTGGTATAAACAACCGGTAAGGGAAAGGGGCGGCATCACGTTCTCAACAGAAAACCTTTGTATCACATTTTTGTCGGGAACCAAACAGATGAGTTCGAGCCAGGAGTACGCATAGTCATCTACTTCATCTGTATATTTTCTTGATATAAAAGAAGTATTGCATTCCGCTTCATAGGCAAACCAGCAATAGATAAGTCAAACGAGTCAAAAAGCGTTGCAAAGCAATATCATAAATCCACTATTTGTCACGTCCCTTCTTAAATGCCACTAATAGATTTTCTGTAAAACTTACCCATTCGAGGAGGCGCACAAACCCCAGAGGCTCCTTGGCGATGCGAAATGTACCAGATGCTACAAGCTAGAGAATTAAAGTATTAAACAGGCATTTATTTTAAAGAAAACACCTTGAAACAATCTTTCTATTACAGTATTTTACCGAATGCAACTTGAGACGGAAGAACATATGTGTCTCTGACCTGATTGAGAATGTCCATCTCTGCAGCCTGTAACTGTACCGCTCGGTGTGGGGAGAAGGAGCTGCTTGTTGACGGCTCCTAGTCTGATTCACCCGAAGCTCGACAGTTGCCGGAAAGTCCCGAAGTTTGACGGCGCTGTATACAACGGCCTCTCCTATTGGACGGGCTGAGCATCGTCCAAGTGGCCGAACTGGGAGGAAGGTTCGCTCTGATAGGTTGGTAGCGCCATCCCTGCCTTGATTATTTCTATTGGACAGTGTGCGCCGGCGCCTTCGTTGTCATGGAGACGGCAGGTGCTCGTGAATCGGAGCCAGGGACGGATGCTGAAGATGCTCCAATACGACAGGCTGCGATGGCATTTCACCACTTGGTCAAATAGAACCTCTCCATTTACACCAGCACTACAAACTGCTCATACTGGAAGACCTTTATAGTGGAGCTCCTCAAGGACTAGTCTCAAGTCCCCTGCTCTCCCTGATGTCATGGCTTTACTAGGCACAAGTTCAACATATGTTGAAGATACCAAACTTGGACGTGTCATGACGAGAATAGGCTCGAACCTCAAAAGACAAGTTGAAGAACTGGGCTGACAAATAGCAGATGAAATTTAACACCGAAAGGTTTGATGTGATTTACTTTGTTTGGAAGAATGCGCAGAGACAATACAAGCTAAAGGATACTATTGGAGAGAGGGACCTGAATGTAAAGTAAAATTGAATCAACGTGTGCAATGTTATAACGCATCTGTGAGATAGGTGGGACCTGAATGCAGACCTTCAGTCCAGGGTATATGTGTATGCACATCATTCATACAGACAGCAGGACAGATTAAGAGGGCAGTTAAAGTACAGTAGGTATAGATGTACGAAAACAAGGACATTAAGTTAAACTTTTATAGAACACTGCTTCAGCCTCAACAGGAGTATTACGTCTAATTCTGAGCCCCACCATACTTTAGAAAATATGTGAAGGCATTAGAAAGAGTGCAGATAAGATTAAAGAGAATGGTTCCAGGATGATGAATTTCAGAGATTGGAAGAGTTAGGAGTAGTTTCTTTAAAAAGTGCACATTGAGTGGAGATTTGATTATATTCAAAATCATGAGATATTTGGGAAGAGTAGATAGGGAAATAAACTGTTCCCATTGGAAGTACATATGACTGTCAGAATCATTACTTTGTTAGTCTGTTAGATAGCTCTCCCAACCTTAACACTGGACCTGTGTTGTCACCTGAGCTGGGCATTGTTTTGTCAAGCCTGATTCACAATCAAGGCACAACCAAGTCGAGTCTGTTTTCATTTACTCCTTTCTACAGGCTCACAGTTGTGCAATTTTTCTCAACCAGTTTGGAGAACTATTAAGAGTGAACAATGTTGGTGCAAGACTGGAATCACATAGGGATCAGACTAGATAAGGACAATGGCTTTTCTTCCCTAAAGAATTATAGTGAACCAGTTATACGACCCAAAGCTCTGTATAAAAATTAGTTTTTTTAAAAACAATTTGAAAAATTGCTACAGTATTTCTAAAGTTTACTTACTTTTTGCTGCTATTGATATTTTAGAAGATTTTTGTAGCAGATACTTTGCAATTGTTTGATTTTCTATCTCAGCTGTGCCAATTGGAATTCACCCTCATTTGTGCTTTTAGATCAGCCTGCATCTCTGCAACCAAAATGTACATACATCCATTTGCACGAGGAATTGTACCTGTGATGGATTCAGTTCATAATGTAAAGCACTACAAGTCTATGCTTTGCACTGAGCCTGACATGCATGGCATGGCTTTGGCTGTGAAAATCATGTCTAAACCAAGTGTTTATGTGGTGGGATTATGTCAAGCTGCTAGTGGGGATGTTATGAATGTTAACCAATCAGCTGTGTATATATGTGTGAAGCAGGTCACGGCTGAATTGTTGACTTGAGCATCACATCTCATTCCCTCCATGGAAAATCAACAGTAGCATAAGAACACTGCAATATTGCAGACTAACTGGATTTTTAATTGTGCAGGAAATTATGGTTCACAAAAATTCTTTTTTACATCTTGGTCATTTCTAAAACCCTCAGCACCAAAATAAAAATAAATGCTCACCTTCTAAACAGCTGTTGAATTGCCTTCCATTTTAGTTCCATAGTTTCATGAATACTAATTATGAAAAACAAGTCTCAAGAAAGCTGCTATGGTGTTATCCTATGTACCCAGAGTTTATGACATCTCTGTGGAAACTTTGGACTCCAGTTAAATGCAGGTACGGCAATATCCATGCTTCTATGAGAATCATTGAGCATGACCTTTGCATGCTAAAGCAGCACTTGAGGTACCTGGATCCATTTGATGGTTTCTTGCAACACTGCCCAGCAAGAGCTTCTATCATCATTGCTGTATATTGCGTAGCTTTCCAAGCCGTGGAAAAGGAAAGCCCCAGTAGTAGGATAGGAATTGGGGACTGAGACAAGTTGAAGACCTAGCAGAAGAGAAACATTAAATCCTGTATTAGCACATAATTTGTGCATTGCTAAAAAAAACTCCCAGTCAGAAGTATTTTAAATATTTGTAGTTCATCTATTGAAAGCAAATGTGACATGAGAAAAAAGACCTTTTCACGTAGCCAAAGATCAAAGAACAAACAAAGGAGGAAGAGTTGCTGGTGACAGACCTGTCATCCTAAAACAAGGTTAAATGGTTGTGTCCCAAACTCACTGAAGGCAAGTTAAATATGGTGTACTGAAAAATGTAATCACATGCCTCAAGGTGATTCACAGTGCCTCTGTGCACTTGCACAATCTCTTTGGCTTCAAAAAAACTGTCCTTCACACAGCGTCAACTTCACTTTGTTGGGCATGTGGAATGGGAGAGATTGGGAAAGAAAAAAATTAGGTGAAGTCTTAACAGGGACATCATGGAAAAGGTTGGAGGGCAAACCTTGTCAATAGAATACAAGCCAGTTTTTGAAATTGAAACCTATGTGTATATATCTGTTCTTTATGTTGAGAATTGATTGTCTTCCTCAGTCTTATTCCTCTCAATGCACACCAAGTGTCACATCTGCTCCCGATTTATATGTGCTCAGATAATGAAGAACACTACTTATTTCTCCTAACCATAAATAAGAACATTAACAAAAGGTAACAAATGTGATTAACCATATATTAAGAGATTCCCCTCTGTTCTCCAAATTCAAACTTTTGGTCATGATCTTTCCAAATCAAATTCTAGGAGACATTCTATGAAATTGGAAAGGGTGCAGAATAGATTTTCAAGGATGTTACCAGAACTAGAAGGTTTGAGTTCTAAGGAGAGGCTGGATAGGCTAGGACCTTTTCCCTAGATCATAGGAGGTTGAGGGGTGACCTTATAGAGGCTTATAAAATCATGAGGGGAAAAAATAAGGTGAATAACAAAGGTCTTTACCCGAGGGTAGGTAAATTCAAAACTAGAGGGCATAGTTTTAAGGTGAGAGAGGAAAGATTTAAAAGGAACCCGAGGGGCAACTTTTTCACACAAAGGGTGGTGCATATATGGAATGAACTGCCAGAGGAAGTGTTAGGTGCAGGTACAGTTACAACATTTAAAAGACATTTGGACAGGTGCATGAATAGGAAAGATTTAGAGAGATATAAACCAAATGCAGGCAAATGGGACTAGTTTAGTTTGGGAAACCTGGTTAGCATGGACGAGTTGTACTGAAAGGTCTGTTTCCGTGCTGTATGACTGTATAAAATGTTTGTTTTTTTTTGTGTCTCACATTATATTTCAACCAATCATTATCAGATCGTATATTAACTATTTTTAAGGAAGCATATTTTTACATGTATAGAAATAATTACAAAACAATGAAAAAAAATAAATGTTATCCATACTGTTAAACATAATATTCAATGCTGTCATCATAACTAAGACATCCCTCTTTGAGGACATTTAATAATTTACAAAAATAAATGTTTGCCATAAGAAAAGAATCTGATAATTGATGATTTGTGTCAATCATTTTATTTTAGGAATCTTTCTTTCCAATATTCCTTTCATATCAGTAAGGTCAATTCCCAAATTTCTCTCTGCAACACCTTTTGTCAAATGAACATTATCCAAAAGAGAATAGTTATCCATATAACATTTTATGGACAATATTTTTTCTAAACCTGCCTCTTGTATAAAATTTCCCTCAGAATATTAGATAAGTACACCCCTTATCCATTGATTTTACCAGTGCTAAAGTTTTAGGTGCTAAGGTTCTTTTAACTTCCCAGGCCAAAGGACAACATTTATTATTCTCAACCACCAAGAATATGATAAATCCAGCCATCTGGAAGATTTATGCTTGAAACATTGCTCAGAATTGCTAACTTCATTTTTCTGAATCACCCATAGCTGGCAACTTGACTGCTTACTTCTCTGAATTTAATTTCCTCCCATTTTATTTGGTCACAGAACCTACTTAACCACAAGTTTTAATTTGGTACTCAGTTCCAATTGGTCTTAACTGTGTTGGGTCTAGTCTGAGTGCATAACCAGTTAAACCGACCAATCAAACGTCTCAGCTGGACTGCTTCTACCTGAAATAGAGGATCCTGTTTCTGCGAGGACTTGGCAGTAGAGGCATACAGCATTGAAACAGACCCATTGGCCCAATTTGTCTATATTCACATACCCATCTAGATGCCTTTTAAATGTTGTAATTGTATCAGCCTCCACTGCTTCCTCTAGCAGCTCGTTCCATACACGCACCATCCTCTGCGAAAATGTTACCCCTCAGGTCCTTTTCAAATCTTTCCCCTCTCACCTTAAACCTTTGCCCTCTAGTTTTACACGACCCCACTCTGGGAAAAAGACCTTGACTATTCACCCTATCCATGCCCCTCATGATTTTATAAACCTTGA